GGGGCAGGACGTGCATCCAGGCCGCGTTGCCTGCAGGGAATTTGGGGGGAAATTGGGGGGATTTGGGAAAATTTGGGGATTTTTGGGGTTTTTTGGGGTTTTTTTGGTGAAATTTGGGTGAAAATTGAGTGAAATTCAGGGATTTTAGGGGGGGATTTTTGGGGCAGGACGTGCATCCAGGCCACGTTGCCTGCAGGGAGTTTGGGGGAAATTGGGGGAATTTGGGAAAATTGGGGATTTTTAGAGAAAATTTGAGGGTTTTAGGATGAAATTTGGGTGACATTTGAGTGAAATCCAGGGATTTTAGGGGGGATTTTCGGGGCAGGACGTGCATCCAGGCCACGTTGCCTGCAGGGAATTTGGGGGGAAATTGGGGGAAATTGGGAAAATTTGGGGATTTTTGGGGTTTTTTTGGGGTTTTTTTTGGCGAAATTTGGGTGAAATTTGAGTGAAATTCAGGGATTTTAGGGGGGGATTTATGAGGTGCGAATGGCCAGGATGTGCATCCAGGCCACGTTGCCTGCAGGGACTTTTGGGGGAAATTGAGGAAATTTGGGAAAATTGGGATTTTTGGGGTTTTTTTTGGCGAAATTTGGGTGAAAATTGAGTGAAATTCAGGGATTTTAAGGGGGGATTTTCAGGGCAGCACGTGCATCCAGGCCACGTTGCCTGCAGGGAATTCGGGGGGAAATTGGGGGGATTTGGGAAAATTTGGGGAAAATTGGGATTTTTTGAGGTTTTTTTGGGGTTTTTTGGTGAAATTTGGGTGAAATTTGAGTGAAATTCAGGGATTTTATGGGGGGGATTTTCAGGGCAGGACGTGCATCCAGGCCACGTTGCCTGCAGGGAATTCGGGGGGAAACGGGAGGAATTTGGGAAAATTTGGGGAAAATTGGGGTTTTTTTGGGTTTTTTTGGTGAAATTTGGGTGAAAATTGAGTGAAATTCAGGGATTTTAGGGGGGGATTTTTGGGGCAGGATGTGCATCTAGGCCACGTTGCCTGCAGGGAGATTGGGGGAAATTGGGGGGATTTGGGAAAATTTGGGGATTTTTGGGGTTTTTTGGGGTTTTTTTTGGCGAAATTTGGGTGAAAATTGAGTGAAATTCAGGGATTTTATGGGGGGGATTTTCAGGGCAGGATGTGCATCCAGGCCACGTTGCCTGCAGGGAATTCGGGGGGAAATTGGGGGAATTTGGGAAAATTTGGGGAAAATTGGGATTTTTTTGGGTTTTTTGGGGGTTTTTTGGTGGAATTTGGGTGAAATTTGAGTGAAATTCAGGGATTTTATGGGGGGGATTTTCGGGGCAGGACGTGCATCCAGGCCATGTTGCCTGCAGGGAATTCGGGGGGAAATCGGGATTTTTGGGGGAAATTTGGGGAAAATTGGGGTTTTTTGGGGTTTTTTTTGGTGAAATTTGGGTGAAATTTGAGTGAGGGGGGGGGGGGGGGGGGGGGGATTTTTGGGGCAGGACGTGCATCCAGGCCACGTTGCCTGCA